CTCTTTGTTCAACATTTATTGTCTCTCGTTGAACTGATCATACTCATAAAAAGAAAATGCAATAAAGTTTTTCCATGAGCAAATGTCAAGTGCTCATGGACCTACTAGGTCAGCGCGACAGCAAATATAAATAGGTAATGTATTCATTCTTAGAATGAATAAATAAAAAGCTGTAAGTCGGTGACATGTTTGCCTTGATTGGCCTGACTAAACATGGAAACTATTTGAAGGATGAAAGAATCTAACATTTCTCAACGGAGATTAACAGAGTTAATAAAAACACCGAGACTGTTGACAAAGTATAGCTATCTTAAAAAGGGAAGTGCATGACTTCTGGAAAAGTTCATGTGTGCAATCATGTCTGCACAAATTGCAAGTATAACCTGTGTTTACACAGTTGTGTAGATGTCGTTTGATATGCACAAGAGAAACCAAAACCTTCTGTGTGCTCCCGGAAAAGCTGAAAATATGTATCACGACAGTTAAAACCTGTTAATCAGGGTATTTATGATCAAACCGATATGGGGCAAGGAATGGAAAGTTTGAAAAATATGCGCAGTTTCACACATTTATATTTAGGAATCAAATATTGTTTCATTCAGCAATGATCGTCGAAACGTGGAGTTGCCTCATTTTAAGGAGAAATCTGTAAAACCCGACGGTCTCACTGTACAAGCGAAAACGCGCTCGCTACGTAGATTGCTTTAATTAAGGGTTTTGTTTTGAAATGTGTAATGGGAAGTTTGGTGTTGTGTTTACGGTAGATCTGCCTCATGGAAGCACAAAGGAGTCCTGTAAAAGACAGGAGGAGAGGCGCTCGTGCTGGTGGGATGCCACTCGTGGAACAGATGGTTGAAGCGTGCGCCGTGCGCCATTAATCTGCCAGAGAAGAAGCTTTTCCAAGCGCGCGGGAGAAAGGATTATGGCTCCATTTACACGTACACACAAACATACACACACACGGATGGCACGTGCTACTGCTGCATCGCGTACACGCGGTTTTGCTCGCCGCAGGGGCGTTTCCAGGACTTTTTAAAATGGGGTGTCACAGGTGGGACCGGGAACAAGGCGCACACCAGAGTGTTTATCATAAATCTAAACACACTCGGCCTCGTGTGTTTCTCTGCATCCTGTCAACGATTCATTAGATGTAAAGAAGTGCTGCACACACATTTAAACATAGATTACTTGGTGCTGGATAACTGTTGTGTAAAGTGGGAAATATATTTAAAAAGCAACATTTATTCAAGTAAACCTTCTAATCCTACTTAATTATCCTAACAGCACACATGTTTTATAATTAAATTATATTTAAAACATGTAAAGAAAAAACTTCCACATTCATTATGATGTAATATTTGAGTTCTAGTTAGGTCTGTGGAGTGTAGTACTTGAGTTTAGGTCTTGTGTCTCAGTCCTGGTTGTCTTATTGTTCTACTGTTTGGAATTAAAGTCTGTGAGTCCACTCAGAGTTTCCGTCTGTCACGATAGTTCTGGTTTCACGGTTTCAGCTATTATTTATTTTCTGCTTTGCTTTGGTGATCACATGTCTCTGGTGTTTTGTGTTTAACTTGATCTTCTCCTGTCTGTCATTAATATCTACACCTGGGTCTTTTTTTTATCCTTCTGTGCCCAATTCCTTGATTACCCTCGTGTGTATAAAAGTCCAGTCTTCATCGTAGTTGTTGTTTGATTGCCTTTCTTTCCTGATGCTGTGTTCATGTTATCTGCCTGCTTATAAACATCCATCCATTCATCCATCCACCCTCTTCTGCTTATCCTTATCAGGGTCGTGGATTCAGTTTGCGTCTATTTTTCATGGACTTTAGGATTTTGGATTCAGAAAATGGTCTAAATAAAGGTTTTCCTTACATCTCCCTGTCTGTAAGTCTGCATTCGATTTCCTTTACCTGCAACTTATGACACACACATTGCTGGGCCGCTTGATTTAGGGGGGTGGGTCAGGAAAGGCATTTGGGGTAAAAATCTGTCAAAGCAAATATATGGAGCTACACACTGTGAGCCCTTCGGGAGCAGTGAAAGTAGTCTATCAGCAAAATCATAAGAAACTCATATTTTAATATTAACAGTATGAAGTACAAAGTACAATGTTTGCATCCAAAATAGATAAAAAGCAGAAAGTAGCATACTGCAAAAAAAAAAAAAAAAAAAAAAAAAAAAGAAGAAGAAGAAGAAGAAGAAAAAGGAAATTACCATAGTAACGGTAGTAAGTTACTTTCCATCCGGTGCTATCTGTGCTGTCATCTATCATTGCCACAATAGCAGTGCTATATTGTAGGGCGGGGCGGGAGCCAAGTTGTAGTTGCTTCCAATTAGCTACAACCTGATGGATAGAATAAAAAGTCTGTTATTGAAAGAAAATCAGAAGGAAGTTATTGTATTACTCTGCTAAAGGCTAAGGTCACTTTTACTCTTCTCTGTTTTTTATGCGTCTTTTCATCCCTGTGGAAACATTACAGTTTATATGGAACTCATGGGTTGAAATGTGACTGTTTGTACAATAATCTATGTAAGAATAGATCAGGGCTGTTACCAGGATGTTTTTTAACGGGTTGCCACGGGGGCTAACCAAATACAAGTAGAGGAACCCACAGGACCCACACCCTCTGCTCAAGTAAAACGTGCAGTTCTGAACTTATGTTACTGTACAGACTGTGCTTGTCATGAAAATATACTTAATTTAAATAACAGTAATGTTATGCAGAATGGCTCTTGTCGGAATTATATAGATGACTTTATCTGTATTCTTACTGGATTGTTTTCTGTATTTGAAAGTCTGCAAAATCATACAATATTGACAATATTTTTGTATCAGTGGAGTAAAATCAACAAAGCATAGAAAGTCTATCTATCTATCTATCTATCTATCTATCTATCTATCTGTGTGTGTGTGTGTGTGTGTGTGTGTGTGTGTGTGTGTGTGTGTGTGTGTGTGTGTGTGTGTGTGTGATGTAATAAAATTATATCATATAACATATAATATACTTACGTTTTTTGTTTTATTGGAAGCCAGCTGGAAAACCTAAAGATTTCCTTTGTTACATCATCACGTGAGCCAGCAATTTGCCTCGTGGGGCCCGTGCGCATCACCGACATACACACGCACACACACATATAGGATCACATTAACTAATTTCTGCTGCGAGAAAGCTGCGTCGATTCCACCCAAGAATAACAGGAAGTTAAACGAATTTATCTTCAAAATAAAAGGCCAGGAATCGTCTCAAGAGAAATAAACATGCTGAAAAAAAACAACAAAAAGCCAGTTGCAAATCAAAAGAAAAAAATCCTATTCGCATTAATAAGATAAAAAACACTATTACTTCTAAATAGCTTTTCATATAGGATCATTAAAAGGGTACAGTCGATAGTGGTTTCAGAAGAGCTATATTATTTCGTATATTGTAGAATAGAATAGAATAGAATAGAATAGAATAGAATAGAATAGAATAGAATTCAACTTTATTGTCATTGCACATGCACAGGTACAGGGCAACGAAATGCAGTTTGCATCCATCCAGAAGTGCTTTAGTGATATAGATATATTACAATATATATTAGCAATAATATAGATATGTAAGTATATTACAGAAATGGGTCTATTATGGTATGTTATAATGTACATGGTATGAAGTATGTTGTGAATATTCTATAACTATAGGTATGTACAGGCTGTAGTGAGTACAAGCTATGTACAGGATATGAACAGGATATAAATATGAAAAACTATACAGAATATGAAATAAATAACTTTACAGAAATCTGAGATATACAGTTATACAGAAATGGGAACTGTGCAAGTTGTAAACAGTTGTAGGGTTAAAAATTATCGTATGTACAGAATGATTATTTACAGAGCTATACAGTAGTGCAGTTAAGATAAGTGTGATATGTGGATAATTTCTACAGAGGCTATATAAAGTGCTAGTGGTTGTGAGCGGTGGTTCAGTCCATGTTATTATTGTGTGTTTATTGTGTGTTTGAGGGTACAGTTGTCCATTGTGGGTGTGTGCATGTTCAGTCCATGTGTTAACGTGGGTCATATTATACATACATATATGCATGTATATATGTATGTATATATATATATACAGACCTCTCTCTCACACTCTCTCTCTCTCTCTCTCTCTCTCTCTCACACACACACACACACACACACACACACACACACACACACACACACACACACACACACACACACACACACACACACACACACCATATATATAGTTTTAAAACACAAAAAGGTGGATATTATTATTTATATTTTGTGCTCTGCCACTGTGGCTGGATTCAAGATGAGGTCAGGCACGAGCTTCCATGGATAATGTATGGTGATGAAACTGTGGTCTGTAGTGAGAGATAGGAGCATGTGGAGGAGAGATAGAGTGGAGGCAGATGATCCACTGTGGTGAGCCCTAAAGGGAGCAGCCAGAAGAAGAGAAGCAAATGTTATGCTGATGCCTGTTTATGTAACTGGGTAACATATTTTAATGCAAAACAAGTGGGATTTTAAATAGGATAGTGAACTCATACAACTATAATGTTCAGTGTAATTTCAAAACATATGAAGTGAATTATATTTTAGTCCTTCATAACTTTCATGAACTTCTAATTGCCTATTTCACTAATACTTATTATTTTACACAATCTACACTCTGTGCAGACTAAGTAATTTGATTGCACTTCCTACTACAATATTTTTAAATATACATTTATTAAACCATTTTAGTCTACCTTTATTTGATTTAAGGAATTTATTGAGTTAGTTTAATTTTTAGAGCTAATTTATTGTTTGTTTTTACTCATTGAGTTCTTTTTTCTGTTTAAATTATTTTTGAGTAATTATCACAGAGGCAGCAGAGCTCATTCTCCCTTAGATTTATTCAGCCCCTCTATCGATCTATCCTGTTCTAAAGTTGTTCTGAAGAACAGCGGAAGGCTATTATTTTGTAATGGAACTACCGGAAGCGGGGCTCCCTGCGTTTGTCCGCTTCACAGTGCGTGTTTTCGTTGTCAAAACATGTACGCGACTCAGATAATCGATTTCCATATGTTTGTGTTAGCATCATGACAGGCAGCATCAGCCGCTGGAGACAGTGAAGGGAAACTCCACCGAGAGTTGTTCGCCGGAAGTTAAAAATCCGGTCGTTTGTTCTTACCGAGTAAGAGAAAAAAGGGTTAAAGACTTATTTTTCCCACCGAGGAAGCGCTCCTTTTGTCTCCTACGGCTGTGCCGTTTAGTTTTTTTTTCGGTGTCACCATGGACATGTACGGGTATAGCGGAGTCATGCTAGTGAAAAGATTCTTGGATAATGCCCCCTTTGAAGTGACAAACATGTCCGACATTAGTAAGGCGAATCCCCACGGCTGCGACAACGGAGCTCTGACGGACAGGTTCGGCGTCCTGATCCAGGGACTGCTGGCTATCGTGGCTTTCAGCACTCTAATGTGTGAGTATCGATTCCTTTACCATCGGGAGACACATCCCTGATAACTTTTCTTTTTGTGCTAATTCAGTTGGAGAATTGAGGAAAAGCAAAATGCACGAAGTGTTTTTTTTAGAAAGCTGCACCAGTCCACGTGGCGTTTTGTTTGTTGACGTTTGTTTTCCAGCCCCAGTAGCTCCGCACCAAACTGTATTGATAAATATGCTAATTTGTTTTTCCCACGGGTTTCGGCAAGAATCTAAAGCGGACAGCAAGCTTCTAAAAACAGTACCTGACTAATAGCGTTTTGCCTTTCCTTTCGGCGTATATCAGATGTTGTAAACATAGCAGGTTTGAACGGAATTTTAGCTCTTTAACCAAGGGAGAGTTGGGCGAACCCTTATTTTCAAACTGTAATTAATCAAATGAGTTGTTCACGGTATAGGCACTTAATTAAATATGTAGGGCTTGTTATACCGCACTTATATATGTGCCCTTTGCCAAAGCAGCATAACTGAGGTGCTTTTAAGCAGAGCCAGTGTCACATAATAGCAGATTTTAGATCCAGGACCTCATTTTGTTTCTCTTAGAAATCAAAATTGACTTCCATCAGAATAGTTACTTAAAATCTTTGTGCATCCAGTGGAATTTAAGATGTATGCAGGATTTCCGTGTATTCTGCAGTGTTTTTTTTTATTATTTTTAACTTTAATTAAAAAAAAAAAAGTTGGTGGTGCAGTGGCTGGCAAGCTGGCCTCACAACAAGGATGTCCCAGCTGGCTGGAGTTTAAATGTTCTTCACATGCCTTCCACATAATGTAGTTTCCTCCCCCTGTCCAAAGACGACTGGTAACAAGAATAAATTCGGATTAGGTTAAATGGTGATTCTAAATTGTCTGCCTCTCTGTGTTAGCCCTGCAGCATATCTGTGACCTCTCCATCTGTGGCTTCTTGTCCTGTGACAGCTGGGATAGAGAGAGATAGATGACAAAACCTACATGTTGCATCCATAAAATCAATAAAAGTGAATAAAACCATAATTTAAACCAAAACTAGAGCAGCAAAAATGGAAAAAATTGTAAATAAAACCAATTAACTGAAAGTAACTTACATAAAATGAAGTAATAGTCAAATCAATAAAACAATATAATGATAATTAAGAGTAGGAATTGGACTATTTAAAGCAGGGATGTCAAACTCATAAAACCCACTTTGATCTTAAGTGGGCTGGGCCAGTGAAACTCTCCTTTCTGTCACTGTAAAGATGTTTAACTACACATCTAATCCCTCTATTCCCTTAATATAAGAAAAAGAAGTGCAGTTTCAACCATGTATCTCCTTGTTTTTCTACATAATTGGATCACATCTTGGAGAAGCTCACTGCGGTCGTGAGTTCTCAGAATCGGCTCTTTGAGCACAAGAATGACAACATCACGGAGCGTAAGTTTGATAACATCATGGAGAAGCTCACGGCTCTCCAACGGGAGATTGAGAGACCAGTGTTGGACTGTTAGAACAGCTTTGAAATTCATATGAGTTGTTCGCACTAAAGTAAAAGCCACCATCACTTCATACGGATACCCCTTCGGCGCCAGCCACGGTCTCAAGGCTGGAGCTGAACAACAACACCCTGATAACGACTGTGTTTAGACTGTTCTTCTCATTCTATGCAAGGCCACCTGGGTTGGCTGGAAGACTGTTTACTTAGCCTGGCAGGGCGAAGGACACTGTCTCAGCTGAACTCTGGACACATACACGCACACAGAAATATATATACACATGCAGATGTACACTCATCCCCCCTCCCCCTCCAAACGCCTTCGACGCTTATTCCCCTCTGATGCTGACGGTGGATCAAGGAGACCAGCACTTATGCTGCAGGCCCGAATGCACTGTCTATATTGGCTGTCTCTCACCCTTTACCCACCCCTTTTGCTTGTCATGTGTTTCTTTGGTGCATTAAGAGTTTTTTCATGTGCTATGTGCAGAGGTGTTTTTTTTTTATCTCTCAAACTGATCTCCCTGTTGGAGCTCAGTCTGGGGGGAGTTATTTTTTTTCTCCTTATCTTTCCTCATGTTGTGCTTTTTCCATGTTATACCCCTCTGACATGTCTTCCCCATGTGATGTTTGTGTAATGTATGTATGGTCGGAAGGGTAAGACGGCGCTGGCACGGCTGGCAGCCTTAACCCAATTTCCCTCAGGATGAATAAAGTATGATCGGTCGGTCGGTCGGTCGGTCGGTCGATCGATCGATCGATCGATCAATCAATCAATCAATCAATCAATCAATAATTAAGGATTGTTGCCGCATTAAATTAAAGAAGTTGTCTGCACGACTCTGAGCTTATAAGCAAGGTTTTCAGACCGTGCCAAAATTTTAAAATCGCCTCTAAAACGAACAAAGCAAATGTTTGGCCTCAGTATAGTACGCTCAGTGTGCTATATGAAGCTAATTAAGCTGTTTTGTTCCCTTCAGTTTTCTTGTGTGTTCAGTTGTCCAGCACTTGTCCAGTTGTAAGCACAGTCGAGTCTTTCAGCTTCCTCTGGGGATAAAAAGTTGGGCACTTTTTATCCCCGGATAAAAACTTAGGGTTAGGGTGATGATTAAAAACAATGCTGTTTTAACAGCTCAACAAGATGCTCCTTGTAAACTGGAGTGTTTACTTGCTCAACCCTAACAATGGCTGTTGACTTACTAAGAAACTTGTGATTCTGGGGCAGCTGACTTGGGGAATGCCAAGCATCTAACCACTTTTGGCACCCTTGGCTCTGTTTTTTATTTTTAATTATTATTTTTTTGGCAGCTCAAAGGTGCGACTGTTACAAGTAGCTGTAATAAAAGCTAAACTCGATGCCTCTCAGAAACCGTATATAGTTTGTGTTAATGTTTGATTACCTGTATGACTTTCTGGATCATATTTAATTTTCGGTTTTAATTTGTTCTCAGCTGTTTCCTTGGATTATAGTGACTTCAGTCAGCTGCCAGGGATATTGTTACACAACTGTCTGCACATATGTGTTCAGGGAAAACATTAGGACAGTTTCCTTTTTTTTTTTTTTCTTTGTTTTTTGTAAGTATTCCTAAATGCCACACAAAAAACAGAGTACATGGATGCTGATCCAGCGCAATATAAACTTATTTCTCTAGATTGCTGGCATATAATCTAATAATCAGTACTTTAAAAGGTCAGTGCAGTCATGGTGATTTCATCAGCTAATTAGCATGCTGAAACCTGAGCGGTGAAGTTCAGCAGAATCAGGTCAGGCCTTAAGTGGGAGCGATCAATGAGCTCTAACCTCCACTTAGTTACTTATTAGCAAAAGAATCAATATCCCTCCTCTCGCTCTTATTCTCCCCCCTTTGGTTCTCTGAGTGTCATTCTTGGTCATTCGGGCCACATGTATGTGTTAATATTTACAAATTATTTGTGTGCAGTGAAGCATTATTAGCATCATTAGATCTTAGGTTATGGCCAGAGTTGCAGGCGGACCTGCACCGTACATCCCTCCGCTCATCTGTCTTCCTCAAAGCTATTTTTGGGAGTTTCCTTCCACTGACTCACTGTTCTGCCTGCACTCATGGAACTCAGATAAAGGCTGGAGATTGAGTACGTCAGTCTGCCCCGCCTTGTTGTTCCGTTGCTGTCATGAAAGTAAATCGACACCCTACTTTCATGCTTATTAATATTTATTTTCTGTCCAGGATCCTTTTAAGTTTTAAGTCAACAAGTATAGATTAGTGACAAAGCTGGGGTCATTCCATCTCAAATCAAACTTTCACAACATCCATAAATTCCATGTCATTTGGCATTCCTATAGCAAATATAAATAAATGATGTAAATATGCCTTTACTCTTGTCACATCGCCAGCACATAGCCATAGCCATCGGATTACTCTGTAACACTTCCTGTATTGCTGAGATATTGATGGGCCTTTTCCAAAGGTTTCTTCTTGTCAGAAAACTGAGATGTTCAGTTTCGAGTTAAGCTGCTGATTGAGGAATCTAGACAATATCAATCATTGTGCCTTATGTACCAATATTTTTTTCTCAATGTGATGGACCTTTGAGAAAGGCCCAGTTGGTCTGCATACAGTTTATATATAATACTTCACACATTACCCTGTGTGAAGTATGCGATTTCCATTTGAAGGAGACCTTGATTCTGTTTCCACATGCTCTCTCCCATTTTCGACCCTGGTGGATTTATAGGAACAGTCGGTGCCTGTTTACTGAGCCCACTGGGCTGCGTGAGATTAAGATGATTCATCTGTATTTTATCCTCAACCTTTCTCCCCTCTGGCTGCTCACAGATTGGTGAAAACAGTGGTAAGAAACTGTGCTTTATGTTGTTGTTTTGCAGGACAATCAATCAATTGATTTTCTTTGTTTGCAGTGAAGAGGTTCCGGGAGCCAGTAGGGATCAGACGACCATGGCGGATCTGGTCAGGCATTTTTCATTTTCTCTTTAGACATATCTACCCTGCCCTGTCCTATATCCTAACGTTTTCTATTCCAGCTACAAAATAATTCCTCTGGAATTATACAAAAAATCATAACATTTAAAAAAAAAAAAAAAATCTCACTTTTCAAGTCAGTCAGAACCAGAAAATAAAAACCGAGTCCATCGTGCCTTTTCCAGGTTTTTTGATACATCCAAACAAGCCATAGGTGCTCTCTTCATCCACTTTGCCAATGTCTTCCTGTCCACTCTCACCAAAGAGGACCCCTGCTCTCTGTAAGTTCTTTAGAAGCACATCAGTCATTCTAGGATGTGCCCTACAGGGATGTCGCTTCAATAATGTAATTTAATTTTTCACCAAAGTTATCTGATGAACTTCCTGCTGGATGCCACTCTGGGAATGTTGGTCATCTGGCTGGCTGTCAAGTTGGTGTCCAAGTTGGTGGAGTACAAGCAGTGGACTCTGCTCATATTTGGAGAATATGGTGAGTGAAACCGAATAATTTTCTTCTCTTTATGGTTTTTCATTTTCTTCTCATCTATTTACACACAAAATGAACACTGAGGCGCATTAATGAAGAAGGTGCAGTGCTAATTTCTGCCAGCAGAGGGCGCTGTAGACCCACCAGAGGTACACCAGGAGCATAGCCAGCATCTCCAGCTGCAGCTGAAAACATTCCTATTGGCTTAATACAGTTACTGCAGCCCCCTCACTCTACCTCTTGTTGTTTTTTTCCTTTACGTCCGTCCTTGTGTGATGGAAAATTTTACTTAAACTTGCCCGATTAAATCCATCTTACTTCTGGGCTACAGTTGTGCTTTGGTCAAGGGCACAATTGTAGTTAATTCCCTGTTTTGTTTGACATGAGCGCTGACATTTCCAGATCGGTGTGTTTGTTTGCCCCCCCCCGCGTCTGGCTTGTAGTCTTCCTTCTTCCTTCCTGCCTTAATGACAGACCTGTTCTCGTTTGTGTTTGCTGTGGTGAGGCACCTGTGTAACAGAGATTTTATTAAAAGGTTGAGACCAGGGGAAGAAATTCATCACCTTCAATATTATAATCAAATCCATAATTCTGTATAGTAACTGGTTCAAAGCAATGGTAGTCAAATGAAGCTTGACTATAGTTTCATGTTAAAATCCACCCGTAATGTGTTTCCTTATTTTCCGTCACATATGTGCTGTTACTGTTGGGTCTGTGTTTCCACAAGCCCCGCTAATTCTAGAGACTTATTCATCATGAAGAAAACAAGGCAGTCGATCGATCGATTATTTGCGCAAGGGAGGCCTCGTCTGTGTCCACCACGAAAATTACCTCCACGACAACCTCCCTTGCTGCCTTTTTATTGAGAGACAGTTCACACAAAAAAAACATCAGAACAAAGCCACGCCCACATGGTTCTAAGACAAGGCCTTGTATGTATATGTGTGAACTTCTGTAAGAGTGTGTGTGTGTGTGCGTGTGTGTGTGTGTGTGTGTCAGACCTCCTGCTGACCAAAGGGTCGTAAACGCAGGAAGCTTGCATCAAAAGAAGCAGATCTTCCAGATAGGATGTATCTGCAATAAAACATTACAGCCCCCACCTAGAACCTCGAGTGGAATTTCTTTCATCAGAGTTGGCAAGCATAGAAATGACAACATTTAACAGTTCACTCTAACAGTTACAGTGGTGGATGCTCATATGGAACATAGCCAGATTTTAGCAGTGAAGTAATCAGTGGTGAGCAAAGAGCTTAGGTTTCAGACTTTTCTAAACACCCTGTTTCTTACAGTTTTTTTCCCCCACTTTTGGCTCTGGATGATGTCATAAAGTGGTCATCTCAGGCACACATGCTGCCTTCCAGATACCACGAAAGTCGGATGTCGGAACTCAGGATGGACATTTATTAGGGTTCAGGAATAAAAACGTGGAACTTTAAGCCTGTGACGTTAACAGATGAAGTGCAAATGAAGTCTCATTAATTTTTTCCCCCTCCTTGTTCCTCCAGGTGACCCCCCCCAGGCAGCAGCATGGCTGGGCCAGTGTGGCGTCTACATGCTCATTATGGTGCTAGAGAAAGGTGTCATCAGCCTTGTGCTGCTTGTCCCCGGATGGTCCAAAGTAAGAAGATTTTACAGCTCATTGTGCGCTAATCCTTTGATATTATAAAACATTTAGGCAGAGGAAACGATTTCCACTTTTTACATCATGGCACAGCCAAGACTTCAGCGAGGTTTAGCCAGTCTTAGACTGTACTTAATCCAATACAATTGACCAAGCTGTGATCTCATCCTAGAAGAATCACAATTTAGTTTGAATCTGAACACCCTTTCGATCTTGTTTTCATGTACATCTGGAATTGTTTGGTTTGTCTTTGAGGCAAATATGGGAGAGAATATAAAAGTATTTATTTGCCAAAAGAAGTTTTTGAAACTTATGAAATCCTTGTGATTTTTTTTCCTTCACTGTTTCCTAGAAATATGCAATAAATAAATAAATAAAAAATCAGAAATGTAAAGTTCATGAGAAACAAACTTTGCCACTTAAGAACTTTTGACCAAGAAACATAAACAAGGAAGATGGTGAAAAAATGACTTCTCCTGATCCCAGTGTAAACATGAAGTCTGTTTCAAAGAGAGTTTGTTTTTGTAACATTGAGAATATTTGTGTTGTAAAATTAGCCTTCGTCATAGCAACAATTGTCGTTATTTGACGGTCTCAATTTATTTCAAACTCCTTCAACCATCCATTGTTATTATTAATCAGTTTTCATCTTCTGTTCCAGTTACAGGAGGTGTTGCTGAGCTACATAGCTAACCCTCAGCTGGAGCTGGCCCTCGTCATGCTTATCGTGCCCTTCATAGTCAATGTAAGTTCTGTTTTCATGATGAGAAAGTGAAACTAATCAGGACAGTTTTTGACTGCTTTGGACGTACCACCTTGTGGTGTCTCTGTCTCCCCCTGTAGTCAATCATGTTCTGGGTGGTGGACAGCTTGATGATGAGGAAGTATAAGACAATGAAGAGCCTGGACGACTCGTCCGACAGCTTGGTGAAGAAGCCCGAATCTCTGCCGTGGGTGGACAGTGAGGAGTCAAGGGTGAGAGTAACTGTTGCTGTGTAAAAACATCACATCACAATCAAACTGGATTTGTGCCCATTTAATTCAAGCTTAGACTGAACAACATTAAAACCCGACTGTAAGAATTTAAAGGCTAATGCTGCTGAAGCAGATAGACCATATATGTGTCTGCTGAAATAAGAATGCAGCATTTGCCTGTTGTCACTCGTAAACATTGTTTTATAGTTACACATGAGAACAGCAGTGGGCCTAGTATGGAACCCTGGGGCTCCCCTTTTCTTACAGACAGGTAGGAGGAAGACCCAGCAGAGTGGACGTATTTGACAACGAAGTCAGAATTTCTGTGTCTGTCTGCCAAGCTGACAAACTAGTGCTTTAATAATATCACTTACCAGTTTAAAAGCAGCTGTTATTATTGTGATAAAATATCACTTCTGTAGGAAAGACAATTGAAAGTATTTCAATTGAACTGTAATTAGCAGAAGCACTTTTTTTTTGTATTTTCTCCACTAGAGCCTTTGCCTTTTTGTCTTTTGTGAGTTGAGTCAATACTTGACGTACCGGTACTGTATTACCCACACAGTTATATTTGTGGGTTTATAGTTTGTAGCAGTGACAGTAAATTATCAGCGTTTTAGCTCCAGCTGATGAACGCCATCAAGATTTAAAAGGGGAAAAATACCAGAGTATCATTTGGTTACCATCATATGTTTACTATTACCATCTTTACTATTTGCAGTAATTTGTTTTTGGTTTTTTTGTGGTAAGACCTCATTGCAAATGTGTTTTAGAGTCTGCAGGCATTTCAGTTGCTGTATGTAATTGTAATTTTTAATATGAAGCCATTAGTTTTCTTTAGTGTTCATATAGAAGCCAAACAGTTATTTAAAAGTTAAAAAGAACACACAGATAATATGATATTGTTCAATATTACATTTTTTTTTTCCAAATTTTAGGGTTTGAATTTTGAATTTTTAGTCCATGCAGGGTTAAAATCTCAGTATTTTTATTCAGCCATCAGTTAAATTAAATCCCTGGAGGAATCTGACAGACTCGTGTGAGTTCTGGAAGTGACTCATTGATGTTTTTTTTTTTTTTTGTTATTATTATAAATGTTTTGTTCCAAAAAGGAAATAACCCTGAAAAAACTTTGTTCCCACCAAACACCCTCTGGGACTATTAACCAAGACAGATCCAACCATGCCATGTGAAAGCTGAATGCCTTTCCTTTTTGAAGAAAAATCTTTCATCGTGTGTCGAAATGAGCGTTAATGTACCAACACTGTCTCGCTGGGTGTGAGCTGCACCTGTTGTTTTTCTCTTTACGCTTGATCTAATGAGGATCCAAACCCATAAATTTAGTCCAAGAAACACCGAGTCAGACTTTTCTCTCGAGCTTTCGTCAGTGCTGTTGAATTAGGCGATTTTAGCTTGATTATAGTTGGTTGTCGAAGTTTCAGACTCCCGTAATGAAAATGTTTGCGCGTGGTTTTGCGTATAGAATTAAAACCTCAGCAGACATTTAAAAGGAGATATAGGATTATTGATATTTAAATGGGTTTCTCACCCTTTGTCTGTATTACACAGAAAAAATAAAGGGAAAAGGATAAAGGGTAATAACACGCAGAAAAAGCCTCTTATTGGATCCCACTTGATCAAGAGGAAGCCCACACAAGCAGGCTTTTCGTGTGTGCGTGGTTGGATGCTGGTTTGTCTAATCTGACAAAGTTGGAAGAGGTTTCTTGTAGTAATTCATACCAGGCATAGAAGCTTCTGATATCCTTCTTTTCCTCTAAGGAAAGGCTGAACTCACAGACTTTAGGGCGAATGACTGCTGGGGTGCGTGACCCTTGTGTGCAATGTGATGAGAGTGTTTATCCCTCCCTCTTCTTTTCTTTTCCCTGGTCGTCTGCCAAGGAGGCATAAATCAAGTCTTCATACCAAGAATAAAAGTGACATTTATAATTTGTTTCATCATGCTGATGTTATGGAAAGCTGAGTGGAGGAGGACAGCAGAAAGACGGGCATTGATTTGGATGAGCTCTTAGTGGAGTTGGAGCCACAATGCTGTTGTTGTGGTTAGTTAGACTGACTGTTATAGAAGAAGTTTAACATGAGTTTAACATGAGTTTAACGAGAGTATAGCTGCAGCGCTACAAATAAAGAAGTTGGTATGGATGCTCAGTTTTAGTACTGTTACACAGCAAGAAGGTCCTGGGTTCAAATCCAGAGACACAAATCCTGTGTCTCTGTGCTTTTCTCCTGAGCGAGGTGCAGATGAGGTGCGCTTGACTGATTACCACGTGTTGGAAATCCTCGTCTTTCCTCATGTCGTGCATTTTCTATGGTTTCGGTTCAGGTCGCTGTTCGTGTGGTCGACTGGCCAGTGCTACCTAGCCTGACCTGTCTCCCCAATGTGATGTTTGTGTATTGTATGTATGGTCGGCAAGGTATCATCTATCTTAATTGCCCCTTGGGGATAAATAAAGTCTTTTTGACTTTGAATTAAATAAGATGTTTGTTAACCTTTGACAATATATCTGACAGTGGTTGCAGTCTATACAAGTTTGGAGACAGGCTGACAGGTCAAAGGCAACCTGTACAATCGCCTGTGTTCAAACGTGGTTGCACAGAGATAATGTGTGCAACAAACTCAATCTCTGTATGATCAGTACGTGGAATCGGCCATAAAAAGTCAAAAATATTCACTTCAAATTTCACCTAGTCACAAGGGCGTTTACAGTCTTATACTTACTCTTGTGTGAGTGAACCATTAGCAATAAATCAGTTCACAGGGCCTTAAAGGCACCTAAGAAGGCACATAGCATGTGTGAAAGCCTTGAAATCCCCACATTTACCAAAGCTTAAAGTCCTAACTTATGCTTAACCGACAGTGATTCAGTTACACCTGCTGCGTTGTACATTCTATTTAATCTGGGTTCCCAGTTTTCCACATTAGCTACAGGGATCAAAGCTCTGGTCAAACACAGCTGGAGGTTTAATGGCTTGAAATTGTCCCTTGGGGAACACCTGTTTGATTCATACTCACAAACGGATGAACATTTAAAAAGTTGATGTTAACTTTGGCTGTTTGCCCTTGTGTAGAATTTGGGACCGCTCTTGACTTTTGCAACAGTACAGTTGCAAAAGCACATTCTCATGGCAGTTTGAGCTCAGTGAGTATTTCACAATCTGTTTGTAGTTTAGATATTTCCCTCTTTTCCAGAAGTCCTTTATACTTAATGTTTTCTTTCACGCTTAATCTTCATTTTCTTTTGCTGTTTGGATAGATGGATAGGTTTAGGCACTGAAGCTACCTGGTTAGGGTTGGAAAGGATCAAACATGCACGCTCCTACTCCGATATTACTCTTTACTAATCTCTAAGCTCACCCTTTTAACAGATTTTCCACATGTCAAACCCTATTTTAAAGAAACATATGGAACTTTTTTAGTACTTTAAATGTCTAATAGTTGTGGAATTCTGCTCCTTAGAGAGTTGAATTCCTCCTGCTTCTGGAGAGTGTCTTCAAAGCTGCAAATAAACAGCGGTATTTTTCCACTGTGGACTGGGAATCCAGAGCTGAGAGATTTCCCAGCTTTTTGCCTAGGACGCAAAGTCTAAACACACACTACAGCTGAAAATGAGTCATCTGTTCTTTGTCTTTAGCTTATAGTTAGTGCTGCTCTACTGTAAGCTCTGGTGGCTAACAAAATCCCCCTCTCTCAGGTCCTGCTGTCGGCTGAGACAGACACCGAAGAGGCTTCAGAGGGGGAGGAGGAGCCGGCTGAGGTTGAACCGGTCCCCTATGTGCAGTACTCAGGTGGACCACTGAGACCAAGCTGGGTGGCAGTGTAAACCCAGGTGACGTGTCCTCGATTATCGACTGTCCCCACACACAACACATAACAGCATAAATAAGAAAAACAAACTTCCATCCACGTCTTCACAGACTGTCGTCAGTCTTAATATCAGCTTCTTTGCAAGCAAAGGCACAATTTAAGGTCGTATAACCTGTGAATGTGAATACCTTTAGCTGCCTTCTTCCGCATCGAAGGTTAGAACACTTAGAACTGGAGGTCGACTCAGTATATGCATGCACTGTGCATCACGTAGCGTTTTGGGAATTAGAAAGTCTTTATCCTCTCACCTTGCTGCCTCCGTTTACTGCAAGAGAACATCAGAGAAACCACAGCTGAACACGCCACGTGTGTGGGGAGAGATCATTAAGGAGCGCGGTGCCCACAGGGCAAAATCTACGGGTGGTAATGACAAAGACTAAAATTAATCTGTCTTCTCTCAACTCCAGGGACTTTTGGAAATGTTGTTTCTCTAAAGAGAGTCATTTATCGAGTGTCATATTCCAAAAGGAGAAAGAAAGTATACACTATATATATAAAAGTGCTCTCTAAGGTTATACTCAAATATAATCACTTTGAATCCACCTTTTTATTTGAGGTGTAATTATAGTCATTCCTGCACGTTCTCCCTCCGGCTGTTTACTTTAAGGTAAAAGGGCGATCAGTGGGATTTTTGTTTTTGTTTTTCTGTTGAACCGCACACATCAGTCCTTTGGCTGCTGCACTTTCAACACGTGGATAATGTGGCTGATGAAATACACCACCAACACATCTTAAGCTTGATTTATACTCCTGCGTTTAATCTATGGATGACCTTGCTCTGACATTGCACCACCGAAACAGCAGCCGTCATTGTGTTGCTTTCCTTCCATAGACTGTATATAAAAGATGTCTGTTTTACTCTAAATGAGGCCATCGTTTAAAAAAATGAACATTAAATAAAAGTATACCACTGTGAACTAGCGATTTAACATCAGAGCTAGCTGTTGCATCCTAATCCTAAACTACATAAAAGACAGATGTTTTAAAGCCTCATGTTTGGCCATTTTGAAACTGGTTTTGACCTGATTTGGATGAATACTCTTCAGATTATCTTTTACTACATTAAAGGCTACACACGTGATTTAGTAAAAGTATACATACACTTACACTTCCCCCTCTTTGTCTTTATATATAAAGAGAATGAATACCCTGCTCTAGTGAAGCATGCTTTAAACTAGCAATTGAGACCCATTAGAAATATCTTTACAGAGTTCACAGGTCAAGTAAGTCACACAGGCTGGTGAATGCGCACTCCCTGACACTTTGGTGAGTGGTTACCGGAAGTTGCGGAAGTCTGTTTGATAAGAGATTGCTGCAGTCGCCTTTAGTTTGCATGGAAGACACTGTTTTGTCTACAAACACTTGCTAAGCACAGCCTTTTACAGTAAATTTGACTGAATCCAACATGTTTGAAAAAGATTAATTTTTAATTTGAAGGTAAATGTTCTGTGTTTCCGGTTTACTTTCACAACTCTTTACAAACGAGTTGACATCTTACACACAAACTTTAGGCAACCACAGCAATCTGCTAGTAATCAAAGCCATCACAAGGAGCTTTTCAGTGACGGCAAGCAGCTGCTCGTCAACCAATCGAGGAATCATACTTCCGTAGCCAGCAGCCTTCCAGCAACTATTAGTACCTGATCTAGGAGTACTTATTTTTCCCTGACAACTGGTGACTGCGAGCCAGGCTCCAGGTACTAAGCCAGTGTCTGTCAGGCTGAAGAAGTCTGGTCATTTTTCCTCAGACTTCTATACAACATGGCTCCTTTTGACTACTTAAACAGTTGCCTCCTGCTGGCCATTAGAAAGAATGCAGGCTCAAAGTGCTTCTGCATTGGCTTCACTTTTCACACCTGAAGGCTACACCCATCTTTTATAAACAGTCTGTTTTTTTTGGGGGGGGGTTGATTTACTTCAAACATTTGCAAAGAAGACAGACGGTACTATGCAGCAATTATTAAAGCTATGGAAATAAAAAAAAACGTATGTGGTGCATTGGTGGTGGTTTAGCATTGTGAGCAAGCCAGATAGAATAACAACTTATATTTCATATTTCACACGAGCATTATGTTTGCTCCAATATGTCATATTACTAACAAGCTGCTCAATCGAGTAGTTGCACTTCCGGAGAATTACATGGAGTAGGATAAATGTCTATGTCGTAGATTTAATGCAGAAGCATCAGTCAAGCTTAAAATTGAATTATCAGGTAGTTTTTAGGCACTTTTTAAACAATAACAATAGAACATTTTGTAACACTTCAGACTTTTTTTGTCTCCTATAGGAGGCCTTTATGTTACACTACAGTGTGGTGATGCAGCAGCTGTGTGTTAAACTTTTGCAAAATTTTATTTATTCAGTTATGAAAACTGTAAATCTATATAGTGGTCCAATCTGTGGTAAATGCATTGAATAGGAAGCTTAGTGAAAAGGTGTGAGTTTTGAGTCTTCGCCAGATAAAGGTGGTAAACGGGTCAAATGATGGATGTGTGTTACTTTATCCTCAAAGTATTCCTGCCTACATGGTTTACATCTATAATTTCAAAGGTCTACAGTTTGATATGTACTGTCTGTAATATTGTATTTTGTATTTCTTTCTCTTTTTTTTTCTTAATAAACAAAGTTATAATCCTGTGGATGGCATGGTACAGCATGATCTGAGTTGTCATGCACAGGCCGTGAGCTGCCTCAGCGCTTCTTACGAATGTATTTACTCTGTGTTATCATTAAAGATGATTGACACATGAACTCGTGTTCGGTGTTGAATTCCTGTGGCAGCCCGGGCGCTGCAGCACGATGACAGACAACCTGAGTGAGACCTGGCCAGAGCACACCTGTGTGGGTGTGGCCTGCAGCCCTGTGACCTCCACCTGATGACAAGGTGCTGTATGTAAGGGTGTGTTAGGTTTACATGTATTCATCAGCAGTAGGACAAAGGGTTAGTTGGTGGGGTTGTTCTCAGTGGTAAACAGGTGTGATTTACAGCTTTAAGTTTACATGTGTGCAAAAGGTGATATCAGAAAGCAGCGTTAAAATTTTTCTAGTTTTCATTATTTTAGTTACATTTTTTATTATATAATTAATGTAAAAAATAAGAAATTGTATAATAAAACCTTTAACTTTCATCAGAAATAATAAAAATATATTCAGAAGGGACCTGAAAGTAGGAAAAAAACGTAATGTGTGGAGGCTTTTAGGTCTTTTTGGATGTGATAATTATCTTTAAAAGGAGTTTAGTCAGGTAATTAAATGCTGAAGCTATAGTTCTTTGTGCTCATCTCACACCCGGTTTGTCCCATGTGGCCAGTCTCCTGTGTCAAACATGTGTGACATCAAATAGTCTTTGTACTCTCCGTCTATCAGCTTGGCTGCGTTATTCCTGGCGAACCAGCAGTCCACACTCTGTGTGCCGCTGTAGATCCTCCTACTTTTCTGAACAACGGGCACTGAGCGGTTCTTCACCTTCAGGACCAGTGAGGGCTTTGTATCTCCCTGTGCAGGAAGCTCTGCCAATCCTACTTCCTCATACAGGAACTGACCTGAAAGGAAATTTAAAAAAAGAAAAAGGGGGGGTTATTTTAAGCCTTTTTTAGGCCAGTCAGTTAATTTCCTGCTGATAATGGATCTTATTACAATATATTCTCTGACAAATCTGCATTTATTCACAATTTGCAACAATGTAGCTCCATATAACTCAGATAAAGCCAGGTTTTTTCAAATCTCTGAATCACTCTGCCAGATTAGCCCAGATTAAAGTGTAGCTATCTAAAGCTTAGTTTGTAATTAAATACTTAAATTAGACATACTTTTATCCTTTTCTCAAAATGTGACCTTTTTTACTTGCAACTTTGTATAGTGGCGCAAGTGCGGTGATCTAACCTGGCAAGTAGCTTCCAAGTGTGTAGCTTCTTAATGCAAAATCACTTCCAGTTTTAGTGAGAACATTTCTGGCTTTACCTGACTATGCTCAAAGGATAATTCCTCTTGATTTTGGTGACCCCTTGTCCATTATAATCCAGTGTTCTCCTGGGAAGCCTTGGGTCTCAGCATTCATACAAGGCTTTGACATGTACTACGCACCAAGCACACCCTGGACAGTAGCCCTACTACAAAAACCCCTAAGAATGACTCAGAACGTGGCCAAGAGCCCAAGGCATCGATTCAGTCTCTAAATCCTCCACATCCCCAGAGTTTGGTCAAACACACGCCTGTTGTCCAGAGGCCGCACCCCACTAACTCTAACATCCAAACTGACAACAAGCCGGTGGTGGACCTCAGTGACACCGATGGAGATCCCCTGTCCATGCTCCAACAGATTGGAGTTGTATTTTGCAACCCAAGAGAACCTACTCCATTTTAGACAGCGACTTTATAAAGTTGTTCCTGACTGATTAATGTAAAAATGCATGGATTTTGTGAATAATAAATAATCATTTCATATATAGTTACTTAACCAAATATTCATATATTCACTTAAGTCAGTGCTCCAGCCTCCAGAGGTTGAGAACAGTGCTTTAGTATTTATTGATTAGAGTTCTCAGAGCAACAGGATTTTACAGATGAATACTCCTTCAACACTCACCTAGCAGACCGTGGCAGTTGTGCGACAGCCCCTTGTTGTTTCCAATGTAGAACCCCAGATGGTCTCTCTGGTAGGGCGCCGGGTTTTTGTACTGATGCAGCAGGATTACGAAGCTGATGTTCCCACCGACCGTCACGGTCACATTCGAATTTCCCACAATGGCCACAGACAGCGCTCCACAGTCCACAGACACAGTAGAGTGGCAGGGCAGAACAATGCGGTCCCGTCCATCCAGAATAACCTTCTTAGGTGTCACTTCGATGTAGGCGCGTTGGGGTTTATCCACCACAATAGTGATAGTGCTGAAGTAAGTACGCTGCTGCTTGTGACTGCCCGGTGGTGCCGGGGCGCCGATGAGCTTACCGTTGACCGTCACACCTGAGAACACAGAACATGTTTTATTAAAGGCATAAATGATTTTTGGTGCCTTTACACCACATTCCAAATTATTATGCAATTTATGTTTAAGTATCATAAAGATTAAATAAGTAGTTTTTCAATTAAACCCATGGATGGAATTGTGTCTCAGGACTCTTTGTATCACGGAAATCAATCTCGGACATCTATGATCATTAGTTTGCCAGGTGAGCCCAATTAAAGGAAAAACTACTAAAGAAGGATGTTCCACATTATTAAGCAGACCAGCATTTTCAAGCAATATAGAAAGAAAAATGACCTTCTGTCGTTGAAAAGCGTGAAATAGTTAAATGCCTTGGACACGTAATGAAAACCATAGATATTTCACGAAAACTTAAGCATGATCACCATAATGTTAAGAGATTTGTGGCTGAGTCAGAGCACACATGGGCTTGTGCAGATAAAGGCACAATGAAGAAGGTTTCTGCCAGACAAATGCACCTCTATTAAGAGAGCAGCTGCTAAAAGGCCATTACAAAGCAGCAAACATATATTTGAAGCTGCTGGTGCCTCTGGAGCACTGCGAACATCAAGGTGTAGGATCCTCCAGAGACTTGTAGTTGTGCATAAACCTTCTATTCAGCCACCCCTAACCAGTGCTCACAAGCAGAAACGACTGCAGTGGGCCCAGAACTACATGAAGGCTAATTTTCAAACAGTCTTGTTCACTGATGAGTGCAGTGCAACCCTGGATGGTCCAGATGGATGAAGTGGTCGATGGTTGGTGGACGGCCGCCATGTCCCAACAAGGCTGTGTCGTCAGCAAGGAGGTGGTGGAGTCATGTTTTGAGCCTGAATCACGGGGAGAGAGCTGGTCGACCCCTTTAGGCTCCCTGAAGGTGTGAAAATGAGCTCTACAAAGTATGTGGAGTTTCTGACTGACCACTTTCTTCCATGGTAGAAAGAGAAGAACTGTGCCTTCTGCAACACAACCATCTTCATGCAAGACAATGCACCATCTCATGCTACAAGGAATACCTCTGCATCATTGGCTGCTATCGCATAAAAGGAGAGGAACTCATGGTGTGGCCCCCATTCTTCCCTGACCTCAATCCTATTGAGAACCTTTGGAGCATCCTCAAACAAAAAAATACGAGGATGGGAGGCAGTTCACATCCATACATCAGCTCTGGGAGGATATTCTGACATCCTGCAAAGACATTCAAGTAGAAACTTTCCAAAAACTCACAAGTTCCATGGATACAAGAATTGTAAAACTGCTATCAAATAAAGGGTCCTATGTTAATATGTAATTTGACCTGTTAAGAAGTTTTTGATTGAAATACCTTTTGATTTCAGTGAAATTGATCCACTAATGCTGCAAATTCAACAAATTACCATTTTCAGTTCTCTACAACCTATAAAATGTTTTGAAACTTTGTGTGCATAATAATTTGGAACTGTGCATTTTAAGTTTTATATTTTTGAAAAACACTGTTTTCATTGGCAGTTTTGTTGAGTAACATTTGAATTATACTCTAATGGTTGATGACTCGAAAATTATGCCGACTGTCATTTGAATCGACTATTTAGGAAAAACTGAGAAAAATATCATTTGCATAATAATTTGGAACATGGTGTATAGGGTTTAGTCACAAGCCTTACCAGAGTATTTGTGGTCGGAGACCAGGCCAAGGATGTGTCCAGGCTCGCCATTGATGTTAAAGCACACAGTCAGTTTACTCAGGGGGAACTCAACAACAAAATGGGGGTCACCATCCGCTGTGAGAGGGTTTAACGGGGGAAAAACACAATTAAATGCAATTCACTCATGCAAGAATTATTGGTTCATAAATCTGTTAGGGCAATAAAAAATATTTAGCATTTTCAACACAATTAGATACTGGAGATATGCTGGTAGACTGATAAAATGTACAGAAAAGTTACATAGTTTGTTGTCTGTGAGGGAATGGTCTAAAAGAAGAAAAGGTATCCAGTGACCAGCAGGTCTGTGTGAAAAGGTCAGAGGGGAATGGCCTTGAGGTCAAGGTAACTAAGATTTGAACTCGTCTGAGATTTTTAGTAGATGCACCTATTGTATGAATTTAAAAATTCTGTGTTGCAGTATTCTTCACTTATCACATTCACAAACTTGGGTGTCGACACCAACCGGCCATCCAGGGGGATGACGACAGTAACCAATCAGCCTTTCATGGGTTTTTAATTGAAGAGGTGCTTTAAGAAAAAATTTTTATTGTGCAACAATGGGTAGCTATGAAATAAGAAGGGGGTAGGACTGTGGCTCAAATGAGAAAATAAGTCATGTTGTGTTAATATTACAGCTGCAGCAAGTTTTGACCATCAGGACTCAAACGTAAATCCTGTATTATTACCGAACCCATCTCAGCTGCACACTTGTAAAGGCTTTTTGACAGCTTGTTGCAGAGTTCTGGTGATATTGTGCTGACAACATCTGTCGACATGCACACAGTGACGTACCAAAGTACTCAAAACTACCTTTAGGGTGCTTCCTGCAGCAAGTGTCTCAAGGACGAAAATTTTGTAATGAGGTGAAAACAAAACAAGCTAAATTATTGCTGCTGGTAAAATGAAAATAAATAATAAAGCTGTAAATTAAAGTATGGTATCTATCAGCATTAAATGACTCTGGGATAAGAAAACCTGTGAAAATAAACAGCAAACTGATGGATGATTTTCTTACATGCGTTTACATCCGTGTGTCTGTCTGTGTATTACTCCTAGGTTAGAGTTTATTTGTTCAACTGGAGTCACCGACAGTTTGCTGAGAACCAACCAAGATGAAGAGGGGAGCAGTGAGATGACAGAGCAACACTAATGACAGGGCTATTAGCCCTCACTAACTGCTTCTGATGAACTTCCCTCTCTTTACTGTAACACATCCACAAACATCCTCTTTCAGACTCCATTAGCACACAGCACTTAAGGTTTAAAATGCCACGTAGTGCCTGTGTTGGCATTTCAATTAGACCCTGTACGTTCTTTCCTCTCTTCAGGTCAGGTTCAGAGGAATCTGTGAACCTCTCGCTGTCTGTGTAATCACTGCCGACATCCAAATTACAGGCTGCCCACACAGAGTGTAGAGCGAGTCTACTATACATTCCCCTTCTTCTGTCTTTTAAGTTGGTGCCATGTCATCACTGCATATATGCTTCCAGTGCCCCCAAAAAAGAAGGGGAAAAGCACAGAAATTCTGGAGTTACCCGATGTCTTGGAGAAGGTGATGAATTTCTTTGTTGGTCTTCTCACAACTTTGCCTAGAAGGAAGAGAAAATTCAGTCTTAGTAACAAACCTGAGAAACTGCTTAATGCCAATTCTTAACGATAACTATGTTTGGATTAACTGTTAGTGTAATGCGGGTTGACAGAAAAGAGACAGTCTGCATGTTCTTACATGAGATAATGGTTTTAATACCTTTCAAATTTCATCTTCTTTTTGTTTGCTAGTGTAACCTTATTTGCTTCATTTTCTGTTTCATAAATAGCCACAACATGAAACCACCTGCCCAATACTGTGTAACTCCCCATACTGATAAAACAGCTTTCATGAGTTGGGACAAGGATTCAAGCTCCACAGGGGGATGTCCTGTAGTGTTTGGCATTTGGACATTTGCAGTCTTTGGAGTTGCGAGTTGTAGGGTAGGGTTTGTGTGGATGGGGTTGATCCTTGATCAGATCTGAGGTATGGAGAGTTTGGGGGCTAGTTCAATGTCTTGATCATTTTGTTATGGCCCTCCGGCTCCTCCTGAGTAGATTTTGCTTACAGTTTTTAACTAAGAAAATACTCATGAACTCATTAGGCAGACTTTACAGACACCCTGCACCCCCAAACCTGGGAGCCACTACCTTACCGATTGTGTTGCTCTGCGATAAAGCCTGGCTGTTGAGGTCCCTGTCAGGTGTCTGTGGCTCTCTGTCATCTGTGTCTCCTGGCAGGTCATTGGCAGGTGAGGTAGCCTCACCGGCTCCTGGCGTAATGGTGGGCGCTGGGGCCATGGTGCCATCAGTCAGGACTTCAGGCTTCTCCACCGCAATGTTAGTGAGAGGAGTGAGGAAGTGATAGGTCATGGACAGGTTGGTGGCCTGCTGAGTGTGGCCTTCCCTGTCCTTGCTGGTTTGGCTGCGCAGTCGTGAACGCAGCCCCTCTTTGATGCTTAGGAAACCCCACACACGTTCCACGAAGTCTTCTGCTACCGAACCCAAAGCGACTCCTAATTTCTGTGTCGCGTCAGTTCCCAGGGCTCTGACGCCCGTCGCCATTGCAGAAGTGGCTAACTTCACATGCTTCTCTGTATCTATCTGCCGGTTTCGCAGTGGTACGTCTGTCTCGAGTATGATGCTCTTATCGTTGTTACTGGCAGTGACCTGCACGTGGAGAGATTCTGCGCTTTCGTTTGTGAGCTTGCCGGCAACGACGATCTCAGAGCCATTGAAGTAGTTGGTGAAAAGATTCTGAGTGACGTACTGGACGGAGTTCTCCGTGTAGTTGATTCTTATGTCAGACAGCAGAGGAGTTCCGATTTCATTATAGAACCTAGAAAGAAACACAAATATATGAAGAGTTTCAGTTGAATGAAAGAAAAGCTGAAAGGAGATCAATCAAATTAGCTCAGTCAGGCATTAGTTGGACAAACAACTAAATGTGCAGTGTTCTTTTTGGCAACTTTAACATTATATAAAAGTTATAAAGTATAAAAGTTTTAATATTATAGATTATTAATTGGTGAACATCTGATAAGCAGTAAAGCTGGGTTTTGCTTGCCCAGCAGAGTCCAGTAGTAATACTAACACATTAACACAGTTGTAACATTAAAAATTCTATCAAGCATGTTTTTCACTATATAATTTTACACATTGTGCATAGAGTTTCCAAACCTGCATTTGCTTGTTCAGTGTCACCACGAGAGAGGTGATCAGTGTCAGAAAAAGAAGGGTCTTATAGTATACTTCCTCATCTTGTTTATTCAAATAAGCCACCTTCCGGCCATAAACTCCCTTGTCTAACCCCTTAAGCTGTTGCCACCCCACTTCAGAGTTCCTGCGGCCTGTCATTGTCGTCACGTCACAGCAAACCTCCTCACCTCCTGATGAATATGTTTGTTCAAGCAGATCAGGGGCTATTATCTTTGGAGTCTGTCTGTTAACCCCTCGTACATACTCAGACGCAGGTTTCACAACACACAAACACACACATTCCTGCTCAACTGAACAAACACCTCGTGTGTCTGAGTGCGGAAGAGAGAGGGAGAAGAGGACCATGCGTCAAGGATAGGAAAAAAAAGAGCTCAGAGAGAGAGTTGATTAAAGACGTCTTTTGTCAGCACCGTCACATTTGCGGTCGTGGTTCCCTCATAGGTCGATGAGAGACGCACGGGCATATCAGAGCGGGAGAAGGGAGGAATTAAGGACAGCTAATTGCTTAATAAGAATGAGATTACAAATTTATGAAGGTGAAGGGCACTGGGTAGTAATCGTTTATTGAAAGTAAGAATTACTTAATCATACATCTCAATGTTCGTCTTGAATTTTTTGTGTTGTTTTGTGATAAAATGCCCATGTCATTCAGGTCAGGGTTGTCTAAGGAGCTTGGATAGAAAGAGACTAATTCTCAACAGTTAATCTTATAGATGGATTACAGTCATAAAAAGGCTTCAGACCTGCTTTTTAAACCAGTTTAAGGTCAGTTAAATTCCAGCAAAGACTGGTTAAAAATTAGTTTTCCTTTGTTTCCTTGGTTTGAAAACGAGTCAGTGTTAGTTGACTTTTAGACCAGTTTTAGATCAGTGTAAGGCTGACAGCCATCAGACTGTCAAGTAAAAACCAGACTAAAGCCAAGTACCAGACCTTCAGAGTTTAGACCTTCTCCCCAAATTTAATGTTGAACCTTTTGGACCAATTTTAGACTAAAAGAAGACCAGGCTAATTGTGGTATAGTTTCAATTTAACAACAAGACAGACTTCAGACTAGCCTCACACCTAATTTAGATCTCATCCAGACTACATGTTCAAACCAGTTTCCGACCAGTTACTTACCCCCTAACACTAAGCCATGTCAGAGTCCTTTTGCAGCGGTTTTAGATCATAGTGTCAAATAATCTTAAGCGAATTTTAGACACATTAAAATAAGCTTCCTTAAATTCTCTCATCTTCATTAGCAAAATGGGGCTCATTGCCCCGTAAATATCAACTGTAGCCTATAAGGTGTCATGTCAAAGCCATACCCTTTGAGCATGGCGCTTGCGTCAGCCTCCTCATTGATGCGTCTCATCATCCCGCAATTTTCCAGAGCCATACGCTCCAGCAGTCGGTAGTCCACATCATTACCAATCCCAATTGTGAAGATGCAGAATTTTTCCTGCACAGCTGAGCGAGTGTTCCCCAGGATCGCCACGGACTGGATCTCTCCGACAGTGGGCCGCCCGTCTGTCAGGAAAATAATGAGCGAGACGCTGTTCGGGCTGCTGTCAGGGCCCAAGAGGTAGTCTCGAAGCAGAGACGAGCCGGTCCGGATGGCGCCATCGATGTTGGTGCCTACAGTGAAGGGACATCACTAGGTTTACATCTCAGGTTATGGAAACACAGTGACTGAGCTAAACTTTAATATGTTTACTGTCCTTATTAAACACTCACTTTTCCCACTTTAAGTCTACAACAACATCTATTTATCAGCAAAGAAGGTCACTGCTGTTATTAAAGGCAGTTTTACTTCAAGTCTTCAAAAGGACAAGACAAAGACGAACCGTCTCACCTCCAGTGGGCGCCAGCATGTAAATAAACTTCTTGGCGTCCCTGATATTGAGGGGGGTCACTGGCACGAGACGATTTGGCTGCCAAACTTTGATCTTATTGGAGAAGCTGATAAAGTTAAAGTTATCGCCGGGCCGCAGGTCCCTCAGGATGGTGAAGAGGGCATCCTTAGTCTGGGACACGGGAAATAAAAAATCACAAGACAGTAAACATCTTCGATGTTTGAGTGTCTCTGTTTTGTCAAAGATTCACGAATTCATGCAGAATAAAGACCCTCAAAATAAATAATTTACTGCAGCGCTCAGACTGTTTAAATGAAACTTTTTGCTTTTCCTGTCTTTAGGTATTAATGTTTGTAATTTTGGCAGATTTTCCTTGATATCTTTGCCCTTCCTGGCTTTTCCATTTCATATTTAGTGGCAATCAAAATATTATCAGTTTCTTTCAGCATTCTCTTTTTATGGATTTAAAATTAAATAAAACTTCAGTTTTTAATTTATATTTTCTGATCGTGAGCCAGCATAATATTGAGTTACATATTCAAACCCACATCTTTTCTGTGTTTTTCTACTGAATATTTTTTTTATCCTTACTACAGTGACGAATTTCAGATTGAATTTGCAGGTGGAACTCGTGGTGAAACAGTCATGTTCACAGTAATTCTGTGCTATTTTCGAGCCTGTGTCAGTATTTGCTTTAGGTTATCTTAGGTTAAGTTGAACCTGCATTCCTGCTCATTGTATTGTAAAGTGCAAGGGTTGGAAGCAAACACTCAAAACATCTATCAGCACCAACCCCATCCCAACAATCACTGTGAAGCGTTTCTTTTCATCATCCCTTGAAAGAAAACAAGGTTTGTTTGTTACCTGATTTCTTTATTTGCTTTAATTGCCAAAATAAAATTCTGTCATTGTTTCCACTGTGGTATGTTTCTTTACGGATAAAAACACTACACGTGTATACATACAATAGCTTTGGACATTTCTGGATTTACAGACAGAACATTTTCCAGTGGTGACATGTAGTTCATGTGTAAAGTGCTATTTGCTAGGTCTTGAACTCGAATGTTTGGAGCTCTTTCTTCTAAGTAATTAGCATTTTATCCCGCAGTGGTAATGTTTTCTGTCTTATCTACTCAAAATTTGACCGACAGAGCATAAAAGTTGATGAATACATAAACTTCAGATACTTGCTGTTGATGTGGAACCATTGAATTTAAATGTACCATAAAACTTGATACCATATTCTGTCAGATCTTTACAGAATATGCTACTTCTTCATATTTAAGTACAGGGGAAATAAGAAATAAGAGTTATTTGGAGACAAAACTTCCTGCTTTTCCGTGTTTAATCCTCATCTTCAGATCTGCAAAAATGAGCAGATGAGAGATATATGATTTGCTGCTGAGGAGCTTCTTAGATGTCTATATGGGGTGTATACTGCAGGGGTCAGAACCACAGATTGACCTTCACTGAAAAACCTCTATTGTGCAGCCACATCAAAACACACTCGTTGTTCTGTTCCTGCAGCCCACTTGGGGCTGCTGTTGGTGGGGAGAGGGATCAGAGGGTCGAGGGTACTGTTGTCCAGAAAGTTCCATTACCCCATAGACTCTGACCTTCCTCCCTCACAGTTTCCACTTTTCTCTCTCAGTGAAAATCTGTTTTTCACTTTCTCTCCTCTTTTCTGTTTCATGGCAGCTGTAAAGATCAGCTCTGGCTGAGGGGATTATCGTGCTACAGCAGATGGAGGAAAAGGTCTGATATTGATATTCCAGTGTGGGCGTGAGGAGGTGGGGGTGTCACATTTCCTATCCAGTGCAGCTTTTAAAATTCAACTTTAAAACAGGGAAAGAGCCTCATAAAGGAAGAGAGGTGGTCAGAAAATGTAGATTTCCTCAGATTCCTTTAGGAGAAGGGTTGGTGTCCAGGACCTCTGCTCCAGGGTGGAACTTTTGGGTAACACTCTAATGTGAAAATACACCAAGCTTATGAGCCTAGTGTAAATGTATGTAAGCTGTCCAAATCCAAACTCACAATGTGTAGCAGGAAAAGCCTGCTCACTGGTAACAGGAAAATTCAAGAGCGAACCCTTCAGTTAACAAACGAAGCACATTAAAGTTGGAAAACAGGCAGGTGCTAAGCTGTAAACACACTAACACTGGAAAAAATTTTTCCCTGCTTACACACTCTGGACCTCTAGTCTTTACTTATTTATTTAACTCCAAAACCCACACACAAAATATGCTTGCTGTGTTTTTATTTTTTGTGTGGTCCAGTCAATCACTGCAAGGGTGATTGAGGTCTTGAAGGTGGAGCACTGTAGAAAATAGGGCTGAATTTTACATACGTACATATAGATCCTGTGGGACTGCCAGATACAGATGGACAAAAAGGTGGTGACTAACCAACCAGACATAGTGGTGGTAGACAAACAGAAGAAGGTGGCCGTAGTGATAGCTGTAGCGGTTCTGAATGACAGCAACATCAGGAACGAGGAACACGAGAAACCTGAGAAATCACCAAGGGCTCAGAGAAGAGCTTCAGAAGATGTGGAGGGTGAAGGTAACAGTGGTCGCCGTGGTAATCGGAGCACTAGGTGCAGTGAGTCCCAAGCTAGGCGAGTGGCTCCAGCAGATCCCAGGAGTAACATCGGAGATCTCTGTCCAGAAGAGCGCAGTCCGAGGAACAGCCAAGATACTGCGCAGGGCCCTCAAGCTCCCAGCCTCTGGTAGAGGACCCGAGCTTGCAGGGTAGACCGCACGCATGGGCGAGAGGGGAAATTCTTATACCGCCCCTCGCTTGTCATGGATAACGTCATGGTGGCTATTGACAAATACATAGAAACTGATGGGCAGCAGTGTGGAAAATAAGGCAAAATAAATTAGGACTTGGTACTTGACTAGATGTTGCTTGACATGTTTCTACCATCCCTACTAAATTCAGCACCCTTAGAAACACCAACAGGAAGTGACTAATCAAAATGGAAAGAACCACTCCCATGATTTTGTCATCCCCTTTTCTTTCCCTAGCCATACTACCATTTTTTCCCCCTTTTTAATTTTCGAAGGAAGAAATTTGCTCAGATTAGGCAGAAAGGTACCATAAAGTACCACTCCGTTTACCATCCATTTCCCAACTCAAGATCTCAGTTTCATCATGATCTTTGTCAGTGTCGCATCGTTTGCTCAGAAACCCATCTACTGGTACAAAAGACATTTGACAGCCTTAAAGTAAATTGAATTACATTTTTGTTCCTGCACAGTTTATTTTCCTTCTGTTGTTGATTATCCTAACATTAATCACGGAACACGCTGCAGATTCATTTTAATGGTAGTTTTACAGCTGCCATAAATTAAGGAAAAAATGCATTAGTATTCTGCTGTTTGATGCAATAGTTTTCTTTCGGGTATATTGCAATACCTGTCTTATCTTAGTCCCCAACATGGAGGCGCTGGTGTCGATCACAAACACCACGTTCTTAGGCACAGCAGGAAGGTCTTTGGGGGCAAAGTAGTGGACGAAATGGCCGTTCAAAACCTGAGAAACAAAGACAGACGTGCAGCAGCCAGTGAGATCGGTTGCAGTTGTAGTTCTGCTCCGAAGACAGACAGGAGTTTGGCAGTGACATGAGGCTGGTGGCAGGAGGCCAGAGAAAAGAATGACTAACAGGTGGGTGGATAAACGTTGCTGGATGGGAAATCTGCAAGCATGCATGTAGTATATAACAATTATTGTCGCTGAGTTGTTTTTTTCATGAAAACTTTTGGCCCTGTCTGTGTTTATTAAGCACATTTGAGATGTTCTTTCACCTGAATGTCTCCGATCCCCATGTCTCTTTGAACATCATAGCGAATCACGAAGTCTCCCAGGATGCCACTGGTGGTGATCTTTGCCTGTTGGATGATGTTGGGGCTGAAGGTGATCTTGCAGACGTTCTTTTCGTTTTTGATCACAGTGGTGATGGGAAGCTCAGGTTTGGCTGGAGCACAAAGACAGGAAATGCTTTAACAGGGATCAAGAACCGGAGATTTTATAACAGTAAATCTAAACTGGTGACCTCTCCACATTTTATGGACTACAAAGACTACAAAGACCAGCCCTACTTGATTTTTTTCTACTATTTATCGAGAGTTCTTTATGCCATTAAGCTTTATTAGTTTGATTTTTGTTTTGTGTTGTCTATATGCTGTTGGAACTTAAATAACAGTCTTAACTTTTAACTTCCCAAAGATTTTGCACAGTACTCAATATCTATGAACCTGGTATGTTTGGTGGCTTAGGAGCAGTTGCAGTGTTGGCGGCGGCGTTGCTCTTGCCGTTCCGGAGCGGCAGCACCTCCAGGTCCGTGATGGGGGAATGGTCAACGATGGTGACGTCTAGGCTGAGGCGGCTGACCAGCTGCATGGGCCGGAGGCTGGTCACGTGTTCGTAGCGTCCTAGCCGGCGCTGTAGAAGTTCCTCGTATGTCAGAAGGAAGACCGCCCGGTTTCGACCAGGTATTTTAGCCGCCATTCTGAACACCTCCACTTCTGGCTCTGGACTGGAGAGGAGAGGAGGCAGTCAAAGAAAGTAAGAGGATGAAGTGGAATAAACTGCAAAATTACAGTTACTTACCTGTTAAATTAAAGCACAGTAATGACAGCTAGACGTGCAGCAATAAACAGTTATTTTACAGTCTGCTTACTGTAATCTACAACAGCAGCTCAATGTAAAAAAAAATAATAATAAAGTACTGTGATGCATAGAATCTAAGTTTTACAGTATAATATGGATAATTGCCCCATTGCCACACAGTTTAGTGATTCAATTGTGCTCTATCAGCAGTCAATGGTCCTGAACTATGACAATATATCAGCTTTTGTGCATTTCCTCTACTTCCACCATTACATAGTAATAAAAAATACTACTCCCGGTCATGGTGGCTCAGTTAGTGATCTGAAGATGCTATGCAGAGTTTGCAGGTCTGCAGCTGTGGAGCAGTGCGTGGGTGCAGTATCAAAATTATATGGAACAACTAATAACGTGGGCTGGTCTTGTTTATGTTTGTGCTGTTGGTCCCTTAGCTTAGCTCCTGATGCAAGGCAGATATTACTCATGCCAGACAACAAGCTTCTTTGTAAAGTGTTAAAACCAATGAAAACTCTCGACTAGATATTCTTGTGTGGGCTTTTTGATCTTTGACATTTGTTTTAACATGTCTTCCTGCTTGTGCTGAATGCTGTTGTTCCACTTCCTTCTTAGTCACCATCAAATAAAGCCATCGCTGTTGAGCCATGCACTGTCAGCTTTTTGGAGAATGACATGCAAGTGCATCCCTGCATCCTCTACGTCAGTTAACTCTGCACAATCCCTCTCTGTGTAGCCAGAAACAAATGTGGGGACCATAAATTCAACCAACCAATTTCCACAGTGAGAAATTCATCAGAGATACACAACCATTAACCTAAAAACCCAGAATAACAACAACTTAAACCTTTACATTCACAGAACACTGTATAATGCTATAATACCAAAGTTTCCTGTAATCATGAAAAACAGTACATTACATTACATGATATTGGAAGAAAGTCAAGAATAAACATGGCATGTGAAAAAAAAAGAGATAAAGCTGTAGTGTGCTTTGGGGGAAATAACTTGTTTATGGTTTATGTTTGGAGCTTTGCACAAGCTAAATGATTTATTATATTTGGAGTTTGCAATCTCTGAAATGAATTTGCTAAATGGAGCTAATTTAAAGTTCATGAGGTTTTGAAATCTTGCAGATTTTCAATTTTTTGGAGTTCTTGTACTTGGTATTTAGAAATTGTCTAATTGTCTAAATTTTATTGAAACTGCCTGCAGTTATATTTGCTTTTAGCCTTTTTTTATGTTGCACATTAACTGCCATGCATCTCAAATGAATGGGAAGATTAAGTTTTCTTGACCATGCCCCTATGTATTGAAATAATAACTGAGCAGCTTTAGATAGATGAGGGAAGGAGCATTACAGCAGTTAATGAAGGTGGATGATTTTTTTGAAAGAGGTGGAGCAGCAAAGCAAACAGTCCAAGTGGTGATATCACTAAATTGGACTCACTGCTTCCAAATAATCTCACATTTTTCCTTCAGCCCTGTCCTTCTTTGCCTGCTTAATCTATTTACAGTAGAGTCTGTGACTCACAGAATGACATTTAATGAAATGTCACTTTTCTGCATGGCAGTTCTAAATGGTATGATGTCACTTCTCCCATGTGTCACTTCTTGGGGCACAATTTATGCCTGAGGAGAGACGATCATTACAGCCTTTGTGCCCGCACACACTAACACATGTTCACCCTTTGTGCTTGTAGGGGTAGAAGGATTTTTAGATGGGATGCTATCAATCTGTAATTCGGAGGACGCGGCCACACAGTTAAGTTCAAACTGGCGCACAGACACCTGTTCATCCTCTCTTACCTTGCATCACCTGGCTCCTTCGTCCCAGATTTTCCTCTCTCCTGTTTGACCCTCTTCTCCTTCGGCTTGACCTCGCTCTGGTAGACACGCCCCCCAATGATCCTGGTGTGTTGGGGTCAAAGGTTGAGAATTAGTGGTGCTCACGTTCACGAGCACCTATTGTTACAGTTTAACTAGGATTTTCTTGGACAAAGGACAGAATTTGTTTGCAGAAATCATGTTTTCAGCTGTTTACGGAGTCCAGTGCTGAAAATAAGTGAGCTAATCTGTGTGTGTGTGTGTGTGTGTGTGTGTGTGTGTGTGTGTGTGTGTGTGTGTGTGTGTGTGTGTGTGTGTGTGTGTGTGTGCATTTATGAGTGTGTGTGCATTAAAGCTCACCCTTTCCTGTCAACATATGCAAAGAAATGGAAAGATCATAAAACCTTCCAGCCCTGAAATCCTTTTGGAAACATAAAATATCTTCCACAACATCCAAAAACTGCTTCAGTCAAACAAATAAATGAATGCATATAAAAATCTAATTTTAACTGAGTTCTGTTACTTGCTAACAGTTATACATGTGATCATTAGTGATATCTATTGGAATCTGATTCACCATGTCAATTCAGTAATTAAAATAGTGACGTGAGTGCAGATAACACTGAATATTTGCTCCAAATGCCTTCCACTTCTGCCACATTTGGTCTTGACTGATAACCTTAACTCAGGTTGATTCTGGATGCTTTATTTCAGCCACAGGTGGACTTCATATAGGCCAAATGCCTAGTGTGTCAAGACATTTTAACCACATCTCACAGCCCATGAAACTTCTGCCAACTGAGACTTAAGCACCAAATTTAGACCTTCACAAGTCCAACTATGTTTGCTATCTATAGAACCAATCAATGTCATTCTAAAAGAACAATGTGAAAGACAGCAAGATGATTAAAAGGATAAAAGAAAGAATATGTCTTTTTAAAATCGCCAAAAAATCCCAGAACGCAGAATCACTCACAATAAGCTGGGAGAGAGTTATGTGGCTTCAAGAGAAAATATAGATTTAAAGATGTGTAGAATCGAGATTTAAAAATCTAAATCACCAGCTTTATTCCCTTTATCAGTCTATTAAGTCATTAACTAATAATTCTGTCCACCATCCTATTAAGATGACCTGTGTGGCTCTTACATGGTGAAGTTGGAGATGTAGGCATTAGCGGGGATTTGAAACTGAAAGACGCCCTCACTAGCGGCGGGGTAGCGGTTGAGCAAGGAGCAGTACACCGCGGTGAAAGCGTAGCGGGAGATGATCGTGGTCTTGATGGAGAGTTCCTGGATGTGAGGTTTGGTCTCCTACAAAGTAAAAGTAAAAAAAAAGAAAGAAAAAGATAACGACAACACTAAAACATGCACCGGTGGCGCTTTGGCTAAATTTGGCAAGATTTTACGGAGAGCTGCTGTGATCACCGATAGTTATTCATCACTTCAGTTTTCATCCCAACGAAAGCTAGAACTCCAAATTTACACTGACTCAATACTGAGAGGAATTCGTGCTCGTGAGCTAAGATCCAGGCCATGACATATACTTTGGCACGTCTGCGCGCTTGGCAGTCCTATGCGTTCCGCCCAACGTGCAGAGGTTCAGAGTGACAAAATCAACTTCTAAATAACTAAAAGTAGGTCATGCATTCTATTACAGTGTTTGTTACAAAATCCTCAACTCTCAGGTAAAGTGACAAATGAACAGATTTAAGACAGAACGATAAGATAAAGTATTTCTTCTCATATTTGATCATTTTGAAATAAAGAATTTAAATTATAATTTAAATCCACACGAGGCTGCTCTTCATCCCACCCACCCCCTCCATCCTCCAAAATAATATATTAAAAAAATGCATAAACACGCAATATCTCAGTAACTGAAACAGCTGTTTTACCTTGGTTATTATAGTTTTCACCTGGCGAGGGACCCTGCGCGGTGCCTGGAGACAAAAACATCATCAGAAGACGAAATATTGACAACCAAAAGCTCAAACACGTCTCCTTTAACAATCTTACAATGTCTAAACCAAAGTCCGCCAAATCAACATCATCTTCAAGTTCAGAGTCCTCCAGTTGTCCCAGTAAAGTCCCGCTGAAGCTCAGCAGCAGCGTCAGCAGCGTCACCAGCATCTTGCAGTTCCTCTACTTCAAAACTCGTTAAAAAGATGAATGAGGCATCATCTCCCGCTGCGGAGCGTGCCCGAGTCCCAGTCCAGACCCGAATGACCGGACAGAGGAGCGACACGGTGCGAAGAAAACACGCCCACCCACCGGAGGAGAGAGACGCAGTGTTTTCGGGAGGGAGCGCTTCATCTTCTAAATCTAAATCACTGCTGCAAATTCAGTTTGCAGGCATGTACATTGAGACTGGATGTGTACAAAAGTGTGAGTTAAATGTCTTCAGTAGTTTTGTTTGTATTGTAATATTCGCGTTGAACCTTGTAAAATACCTAAAATAATAAAATGTCAACTAAAACTATACATTTTTAAAACTAACCAGAAGCGACCAAAACCACTGTGAAATGAACTGAAAAGAAAAGTTTAGAGAATGTGTTCAAAGGTTCTGTGTGTGCGCTCATATTTCAGTGTTTTAAAGACACCGTTTCGAATTAGCGCTGGCAGATATAAAATATATTCTTCACCACTAGGTGGCAGAATTTTACTAGCAGTTGCTGTTGTTTATTAACTTTTCATCCAATCACGGTACAGAAGAATGTTCTTACAGCGACTACAGCTTTAAATAGTAATTACTGTGTACACAAAAGTACAGCACACCCTTTAACTACAGTCACCTCTTTAACTCAACACTTTAGAAATCTTTTTATTCTGTTGATGGGTTTACTTTATTTTTTTAAGGTTTGAAACTATTTTAAACACAGGAATTTTTGGTAAAAGGAACATTTAAGGTAGAAAACACAAAACAGCACATCTGTCTTGACATGTTGAATAATTATCTGTGAAGCCGACAGATGCATTTTACATGCTTTATCACTTAGCATGACATTCCTTCACATTCCTTATAATTTAAAATACTTTATCACAATTACAGGACTAATCTCTGGCTTAAAAAAAATTACAGTGCTTACACATTTATTTGACCCCCTGTCAGAAAACCAAGAGAACACAAATATTTTAGAAATCTGTCAAAAATGTGCTATAAATTTAAAAAAAAAATTGTTTATTAGATACATAACAAACTGAATTCATGTATTTATACTTGTATCGAGCTGGCTGGACTTAAATGTCAATTTCTTCTGTTCAAGAATGAAACAAATGTAAAAACTGTAATTTGGTATCTTAATAAAATGTTTTAAAGAAGTAATTTACTACTTTTTTTTAAATAAATTTGAAAATTAATGGAAAACATTCATTATATGTAATCATTTAAAACATTGTGATTAAAGCGCTTACACATACTGGTTACATTACAGAAACATTAAAATAAAGATTTTGGTAATTACCAGTGCTGCATGTGTGGCATGAACCTTACGTGGTGGTTTAATAAATTCGTTAAGTGCAGCACATTTTTACATAGTCTACTCACAGTATTTCCCTAAATGCTTAGTATGAGTGTATTAAGGAGGTCAAAAGTTTATCATGAAGCTGTCAGCAGTTGGGTTTACTTTGGGGCCATCTCGTGGCCAAGCCGAGACACTATTTGCCCTATTTGATTCAAGTCCTGAAAATGCTCATTTTGCAAAGCTGGCTTTCCAACAGAAACACATTAGAATGGTTCCTGGTTAGTTGTGCACCCTGATGTTCAGCTCTGAAGCGCCCTCTTTAACCTGTGAATGACTCAGACCTGTCCTTTTTATCCTGCTCATACTGCAGGCCGAGTTTCAAAGTTTCCTTCTGCAGTGTGGGTTACATGAAACACAACAAATATTGACTGTGGCTGATCACTTCAGTGGATTTTAACCTTCGGTCTTCAGCTCTGCTCCCCTGCAGGACTCTCTCTCTCTCTCTCTCTCCCACTGCTTTGTTTTGTATTGTGTGTTTTCCGTGTGAGGATATGTGCACACGAGCCCACAGACCTAGAAACATGAGGCATCTTCAGGTGTTACTTCTGGGGCTCCTGCTCCTTCATCAGGGCTGCTGCTTTGAGTTTGTGATAGACGGGGAATGGGAGGACGAGATGGTGAGTTGGGAGGTGTTAAAATAAATATTTACATATATATTCAAGCTTAAGCTTAAGTAAAACTGTGTTAGTAGTCTTGGCCTCATATTGAAGACACAATTTTTTACGCCTGTAATTTTAAGTGAATTTTATGCTTTTCATTGATGTTACAAGAGAGCCACTTGTGTTCCATGTAACAGCCAGTCTGCATAAAATATGTAAGATTAAATCTAAATCACTGTCTTGAAATTTGACCTGCAACAGGTCCAAATACAACAAATTACAAGCAGCTATTCCCTGAAATTCGTGCTTATTGTTATACTATCAAGAAAGATTCTTACATGTTTATATTTATTGTGGCTAAAATGAAAACAAACTAAAAGAAATCTTAAAATTAGAGGCAAATCAGAGTTTTTTGACCTCTGAAATGAGTCTAAATGACGTTAAATGACTGGAAAACATTTCCAAAGATCTTTTATTTACTTTCATTTTCTTTGTTCTGCTAGTCACAGATGCAGGATCATCGGGAGAGACATAAGGTGAGAGCATCTTTTCAAAAGTCGGACTTTTATTTTACCTGCACACTGCATAAAGAGTCTTGAAATGTGGGTTTGTCTTTCTCACTGATGTTGCAACGCTTGTATTCGGCAATCCATGGAATTCACATATTGATTCTTCAAAAATAAACAAAAGCTCAGCAAACAAAGCCACTCTGATCCAGTTTTAAATTCTACATCTGCTCAAATTTAATAACAGTTACTGATGCATGATCTCACCTCAGAGAGCACATTAAGATAGTCTGATCACTTCTGTGTGTATTTCAGAGAGCGATTTTGACCAGTGAGGAGCAGGAAGACTTTGAGGTATGACCCCTCGCTTGTTGTTCAAGCAGTCTCTACTGTGACAGAGTTTAACCTTATCTGATAATCAATACGCTGTTTGAAGAGATCCTCGTGACTGACAGGTTATTGACTTTGTTCACTGTAAATCCTGCTCTGCTTCCCTTTGCTTTCTGGATTTTCTTTTTTCTTATACCTTAAACAGCAGCAAAATACGTTAACAGGGAATAATTGATGTTAATGTCTCTCTACATGGGTGTTTCCAGGATTTGTGAGGCCATGGGGGCCGGGGTTTGGGAGGGGGACAATAATAGTCATGTGGGCTCGTGGGAAATCATGTATTACATTAAACAAAAATACACTGTGAAAAACTAGCTTCATTTAATAATCCGAGCCATTATCTAGTATTTGGGAGTTTTCAGACCCTTTCGTTAATTAAAACTGTAATACTGCAATACTTTCAAAACAATATGCATCATATTAATGAATGATGTAGCTTTGTACAATAATCACAGAAATGTTTAAAGGGGCTTCTTTATTTATCATATATACATGATGGAAGACAGTTTTTAGGGTGTACACATCCCTGCCTTTGAGCAAGTAATTTAAAAACAGAAAAAAAGCATTAAGATCAAATCCATGAACATTTAGGAAATATCTGATACTTTTGGGTCTTAAAGTAGAGACACTTAGGGATCAAATCTTACCCAAATATCTTTTATTAATAAAGAGAACTTTATTAAAGGCACTGTACTTGATTTATGTTGCTACAGAATGCAATGAGTTTGTGGTTTAAAGTATATAATATTAGAGAAAGACCTCTTATGAAAACTTGACTGTAGGAAAACTTGGTGAACAAAAGAAAACAAAGTTAAAAACGATCCTGATCAGAAAAGCTAAACATCTCTATGAAACGTGCGGGAAATTTCAAAATCTCGTTCAGATATTGCTTAATTCTCTGCACAGGCCATCCGTGGAGATGACATCACCGTCAGGAGCTACAAAGTGGAAAGCCGCATCACTTCACGGTTTTCCCACACCATCGTCAGGAGCTCTGTGGTCAATTCAGGCTCCACTCCCCAGAGCATTGCCTTCAACGTCCAGATCCCAAAACGAGCTTTCATCACCAACTTCACAATGTGAGCCCAGATTCACTCAGTGCAAGCAATCCAGTGAAAGGGGCAGATATAATTGAACCGTATATTCCCTTCAGGAATGTGAATGGGATAACGTTTGTGGGCTCAGTGAAGGAGAAGGCGGTGGCCAGGAACCTGTACGCTCAGGCCAGAGCGAGAAACAAGGCAGCCGGCATCATCAGGTGCAGGAGCAAAACAGCCTCTCGGTTTCATCTCCTTTGTGCAGCTTGTCAGTTAAACTCTTTTGTTTTTTTCTGCTTCACAGGACTAATTCCCAGGACATGGAGACCTTTAAAACAGAGGTCCATGTGCCCTCAGGCAGCAATATTGAATTTGAGCTGCACTACCAGGAGATGATGCACAGGAAGCTGAATCTTTACGAGCATACACTGCACCTGCAGCCAGGGAGGCTGGTGCCACAGCTCCAGGTGAGAAGGTCACAAATAATGTGGACGTGCACTTCACCTGGCGATCCTTTCTAATGCAGTGACATTTCAGGTGGACGTGTACATCTTTGAGCCACAAGGAATTGCAACAGTAAAGGCATCAAACACCTTTGGAGCACAATTTGCAGATCTAATTAAAGTAACGTCCACCAAAGACAAGGTAACACCAGAAATATGTGTATATGTGTAAAATATAAACCTTTACAATATAATAAGATTAGCTGTTTTGTTGTTATTATAACATTATTTTGTCTTCCTATTGTAATTATCAGTTTCTTAGTATCTTAATTTCTTCCTCTTTTTTGAATTTAAATAAATATCCATGAGATCGAAGTAACCCATGAGTACAGTGCCATAAAGCTGAAAATGTTTGTTTTACTTTTAATATATTAATTTATCTTTGATCTCATGGCAAACTTTTACGGAACCGTTTTTGTTAGAAAGCTATAAAACTAATTCTGAAAAAAATAAATACATTAAAAATAAATAATTTATTTTAAATATCATTTTAACTGATAAATGTGATCCTGACTTAATTAAAAAATAAACTTTAGTAATATATATATATACAGACCTCCACTTACTAAGTAATAAACACTGAAAAAAATATTTTCCCCTTTTTTTCTTCTTGTCCTCAGGCTCACATTGTCTTCAAGCCCACCGTACAGCAACAGAAGCAGTGTGAAAACTGCACAGAAAGCGCTGTAGAAGGTGTCATTACTGTTTTATATGATGTGAACAGAGACAGCAATGCTGGGGAACTGCAGGTATCACACACTGAGCCTACAAGTATCATGTAAAAGACGATTTTATTGATACAGTCTTTTAGAAATGACAATCTCTTCATATTCCCGCAGGTCTCAGATGGCCACTTTGTTTACTTCTTTGCTCCGTCCAACCTCTCCCCTCTTCCAAAAAACATTGTGTTCGTCATTGATGTCAGCGGGTCCATGTGGGGGGTCAAAATGAAGCAAGTGAGCAACAGTTGTTTACTCTTTGGTCAACATTTGGTGCACTTTGGCTCCTTCTGCTCCATCTTCATACCTC